AACATGGGGAGTTTGGTGGGACTATGGAACGATAGGTGTAAATATTGGAAATTAGGCACGAATATGGGAATTTTTAAGGGGACCGTTTTTTCTTATGAAAAAAAAGAAACACATTCAATAAGTAGGCGTCGTAGATAGTCTACGAGCCCGAGCTACGCTACCAAAAGGTATTGTGCTGAGCAATGAAGACGAAGAACACAGGATATACCCGGGGCAAGTTTTTAAGCCAACTCCTCCAGAACCAGCATAGAAAAAACTCGTCTATCAACATTCTTCATCGCCTGCTTAAGAATGATTTCTTGGAAAGAAATTTCTATTAACATAATCTAGGGTAATATTAAACGATGACCTCTACTTTTTGTTCACTTACCTTTCACTCAGCTTTTGCATATATTTGCGTATTATGAATAGGTATGCGAATACAGGTAGGTGGTTGCCGATAGTGAAACGGAGAACAGAGTGAAGAACCAAATATCGAATTAAGGATTAAGCGAAGACTGCGACGGATGATATAACGGAGAGTGGTGAAATAGGATAGTTTACGGATACTGGTAAGACTGCGACGGAGGATATAACGAAGAGTGGTAAATAGGATACTGGTAGAAATGTAAAAAAACTGACTCATTGTTTATTATTAAAATAAATTACGTCATGAGAAGAAACGCGTCAGGAAACGCGTTCAAAAATAAAAAAAAAAATAAAACGATGTTATTATATGACGTAAATGTGATGTCGAATGATAAACGCATCTCATCTTTACATCATTACATCATTTATTTTTTTGAACGCGTTTCTCCTTATGACGTAATTTATTTAACTAATAAACACATACTGTATGTAATATTTTATTATAAATACACATCCACAGTGAGCTATTTTTTTCTTATACCTTAATCTGCATCCGTAAACTGTTGCTCTCGGTTACTATCTTCAGCTTGGTTCTTCGCTCTGTCCTACGTTCTATGCCTACCTGTATTCGTATACCTATCTGTAACACACAAATATATGGTTCGTAGTTTTCCAATAATAAGTGAAATTCCAATAGAGATCGATCCTTTTCTAAAAATTCTTCCTCTTTTTGGCCAAGCTCATCTATTTGATGTCGAGGAAGACGCTCTTTCGACCCCGTTATCATCGTTATCATTTTCTTCCTCGCCACTGGATTCAGTATACCTATCTGTAACACACAAATATATGGTTCGTAGTTTTTCAATAATAAGTGAAATTCTAATAGAGATCGATCTTTTTCTAAAAATTCTTCCTCTTTTCGGCCAAGCTCATCTATTTGATGTCGAGGAAGACGCTCTTTCGACCCCGTCATCGTCGTCATCGTTTTCTTCCTCGCCACTGGATTCAGTAAAAGCAGGCAAAAAGGTAGGTGAATAAAAGGTAAGTGAAAAAGGTAGAGGGCATCGTTTAATATTACCCTTGACTGTATTGATAGAAATTTCTTCCCAAGAAAATCTTCTTAAGCAGGCGGTGAAGACTGTTGATAGTCGAGTTTTTTCTATGCTAGTTCTGGAGGAGGAATTGGCTTAAAAACTTGCCCCGGGTATATCCTGTGTTCTTCGTCTATCATTCTCGTAGACTATCTACGACGCCTGAAGTCGCTCAAGTGGCTTGACTTCCAAATATGCTTATTGAATCGAGTTTCTTTGTTTTTCATAAGAAAAAACGGTCCCTTTAAAAATTCCCATATTCGTGCCAAATTTCCCATATTGTCCCAAATTCCCATACATCGTACTCGCACCTAACTCCCATTTTCGTCTTTTTAATTTACCCGCCCTCTACCTTTTTTTATTATTTCATTTTTTTTTTTTTAATTTTTTTTTTTCAGGCGGTTAATTGTAAGTCTTCGCTGGTTCTGGAGGAGGGATTGGCTTAAGGCTTGCCTCGACGAGTTCCTCGGGTTAACCGCCTTTTTTTTTTCTTTTTTTTTTTTTTAAAAAAAAAAAATAATAATAGAATTCGAAATTAAATAAAAATAAATCCAAAATTACCGTATATTATTAAATAAAAAGTGAAAAGCTTATCGAATGAATGTTTAATTAGAAAGTTGACCGTTATAATATTTGTACCGCATTAAATTGTACAAAAAAAACCGAAAAAGCTATTATTCTTGTCGGCAGGCCTTCTCGTGGCACACATTTTCATGCGCATTCTCTGGATTTACCAAAACCCCAGTTTCCAGTGACCGGACAGTCAATCATCTAGTACTATTTTGATGCTGTCTCCAAGATTAGGAAGTTTTATTAGTTGGCTTCTTCGAAAACTCTGTCTTTGAAAGATTTATCGAAGATGAATCCCTAACATTATCATCCGGTATGAATGGCTTACGTTCTGCATTTGACCTAACCCTTTAAGTTTTTGCGTAATATTAATTAATATACTCCTAACCAATACATCATCGTTGATTCATTAGGAGAAAATACGATCTCTTTGCCATGTTTCCTGATTTAAATTAATAATTGGTGTTGGAGAAGCTATAAACGAGGAAAAAATGACCACGGAATAAAGTTTTCCTTCAGACTTACGACATATTAGAACACGAGATAAGGCTGTAAGCTGTGAAGCGTCAAGTTCTAAGAAATCTAACAACTTTATTGCTACTCATCCCTGATTTTTAATTCGGAATTATTTAATTTTCCATTGGTAGCATGAATGTCCAATAATTCCTGCACAGTTTGGGTGGTGCCCGCGACTGAAAGTGTTTTACTGAATCGGTGAACTTTTCTGCATCGACATCATCCTTCCGCATTTGAATACAAACTTCGGCAAGGCAGTTCACAAATTTTAAAATTTAAAAAAAGTAAAAAAAGCAGCGTCCGGGATCTGATATGAACTGAATCACTGGGATATAATTTCACCACCCCGTCGCATCATCGGTCAAGCCTTTGCCATAAAAAAGGTAAAGTCCCTAATTCCAAAAATTTCTTTTAAAATTCGAGTAATTTGTATCTCCGAGACCTAAATTAATAAAACGTTAAATACGAAATAATAGACATTTTGAATGTAGATTCCAAAGATCACACCGAGTATAGCGAACTTCGTGTGACTCAGAAAGTGTTTGATTTGATCTCTCTTAGAAATATGAAGAACTTCGTCGTGCTATCCAGCGGATCGCCGTCTCCGGTATTGGAAACAATAAGAATCAAAAGTTTTTTCTTGGAAAGGTCGACCTGACATATGTGGAAGTTAAACATCTGAGCGCGATCATTTTTATCAGAGAAAGTTGTGATCGAATAGGTCTTAGTACACACTTGATCGTGTTCGTCTAGGACGAAGCATTCGTTGGAAAACCCGTGTTTTAAAGCTTTTTGGTGCGCATTTTACTATCTATTCTGCATTCCCGGTTTATAAACTACTAGTTTCAAACTTTTTCCGGTGGCCATATAGAAAGAAAAAAAATTTTTTTTTTAATCTACCAATTGGTTATCAGATTAGATAGACAATTGGTATTCTTTAACGAATAAATCGATTGATTTCCTCGACAATTTAAACCTTTGAGATTTTCATCGCTGCAGAACAACCTTTCCTTGGAAGCATTAAAGATACTAAGAAAACTGTATTAAAGCGAAGAACAGACGGATCCCTTAGAGTGGCGAGATATAACGCACAGCAATTCGGAATGAGCTTAGTACGCAAAAATTGGTTAAGGATGCGAACAACACGAGGAATATGAAAAAGATCAAGCGGTCTTCGATTTTAACAATACGACAGAGATACTGTACAGCATGATTGTTCCGAGATCGACGTTAGGAAATCAATTCTCTAGATGAGGGGATAGAATCAGAAGAGGACAAGTATGGATAAACTATATGTAATTTGTTTTTTAATGAGTCAATCTAACACAATAATTGCAACTAATTTCAGATTGATGAGGAATGACGAAGGGAATACAGCTTTTTACTCTGAACTTGATGACCAATTCTTTAATTTGGTCGAGTTCAATGAAAATACTGGAGATGATAAATCTTTCTAAATAAGTTCGCGTGCTAACGCAAGTGATAAAGATGATTACTATTTCGCTTACAGCGTCCGTCAAGAATTGGTCAGATCAGAGCAGATCATGTCGAAATTAACAGTATAAACTTGATCAATTAGTGTATGCAGTATAATAGTGATTAAAATAATAAAATGAAAATTTTATGTTTGCCTCTGTTAGACTAGTTATACAATGTGAAAAATTTTAATTAATTGTAATTTAATCAAAAAAATTTTAAAAAAATGTTTTTTAGTATTTAAAAAATTATTAACTAAAGTTTATTTGATAATTTATTAATAAATTCTATTTTAAAGTTTAATAAAACTATTTTAAAAAGTACAGTATATTACAAATTTATAAATTATATATAGTGTAAAACACTTGCTTTTTTGTTTATAAATAAAAAATTTATTAATTAAATATTATAAACTTTGTATATAATATAATAAATAAGGAAATTTTTAAATTTTAATATTATAATTTTATTTAAAAATAAAAAATTTATAAATAATTGATTTTATAAAAATCATAAAAATTAAATAATTAAAATAATAAAAAAATTTTTTAAAATATAAAAATTTTTTAAATTTATAAATTTATTAATAAAAAATTTTTATAGTAAAAAAAAACTCTTTTTACCAATCTTTCTTTTTTGATAATTTTTTTAAAAAAAGTGAATCAATTTAAATACACAAAAAAAAAAAATAATATATCTTTTAAATCAAGCTATCAAACTTTTACAACAAACTATTCAAAAATATTAAGAATAAAGAATTACAGTTGCTTTTAAAAGTTTGAGTCCACTTACTATGTTTTTATTATGAATTTCAACTTTGACAATTTTAAATTCTTAATTATACAATCAAAAATTATAAAATTCATATATATTATATCTTAATACTAGTTTTATTTATTATATTTTTTTCAAAAATTTTTGATATGTAATTTTAAAGTTTTATTATTGTTAGAAATTTCTTTCTTTATTAAATTTTTATATTTGAAGAATTTTGATTGGCTGTTATTGTAAATTATATGATAATCAATAAAAAAATAAAGACATTTAGCAATAATAAAACTTTAGACTGTATTAATAAAAAAATTTTTTAAAAATATGAGAAATAGAATAAGTATTAAGACATAATATATATAAATTTTAGAATTTTTGACTGTATAGTTAAGGATTTAAAAATTGTCAAAATTGAAATTTATAATAAAAACATAATAAATGGACTCAAACTTTTGGAAGCAACCATATATTATTTTACCAACTTTTGATTTCTTTTTTTTAAAAAAATTTTAGAAGAAAGAAAAGAAATCTAAAAATAGATTTACAATTAAAAAAAAAAAGCCAATATCAACTTCATACAACTTATAACTAAAGATGGATCTCTAAATAGGGAGATAAGGATAAAGTCAAATATTACTCACTAGAAAATAGTAAAATTTTTAAATTAATAATTATAAAAAAACTATCCATAATTGTTTTTTATTATTCAAATTATTGATTTATAACATTTCCTAACTTTTGTTTTTATTAAAGTGAAAAGCTATAAATTTTGTTTCTCAAAAAGGAATATAAGTGATCTGTAAAATTTTATATACTAAATACTTTAGGGACTTATCATTATTTATAATCAGGCTAATATAAATTAATACCTTTCTTTATATTATAAAAAATCTAAAAATCAACTAAATTTATTTAATAAATCAATTATTTTAAGGCACAAAAGAATATTAAAGTTCTTTTTTTTTTTATAATTCTCTGTTAGGTTAGTTATGTGTACTTTATTAAATATTTATAAACTGTATATATAAAATAAGATATTAAAACCAATTTTCTAATTAACTTACTTGTCTTGATTATGCTATCTCTCTAAATATAACTTCAGAAATGATTTATTACAATAATAATAGTTCAAATAAAGATCCTTTCAACTTTTAACTTTATTACCTATAGGTCACTACTATAGATCACTTATTTAAATTCTAATAGAGATCAAAATCCAATTACTTTTTACCATATTTTATACTATTTAACAAAAATTTTTTTAACTTCTTGTCTTCGATTCTCTTCTTTTTATATGTTAATTTTATAATAAATAGATTTTCTGTACTCTTGATCTTACTTTATTGGTTCTATAGATATATTAATCTTTTTATCTTATCACATTTGTGGATTTTTGACATTTATTCCCATTTGATCACTTTTTTATATCTAATATTTTATATTTTCTTTAAAAAATAATTATATACTTTCTTCTATATTTACATTATTTATCTTCTTATTTCTTTTCTAATTCTCTTGATGCAACACTTCAGATTTGTTATTTTTATAATTAGATCTTTTTCTATTAGTCCTATACAGAAGTCTGATATATTCTAACTGGTTTTTGGAATCTTTTCTATCAGTTTCACAATTTATTTATAAATCTCTCCTTTTTCAAAATAGAAAATTTTAAATAATATTTAAAAATGATTTTATAGAATTAATAGTAATTTAAAATAGAATTGATTAAGAAAAAATTATTTCATTATTACTATAGAAAATAATTTTATGATCTTTTACTTTACAAGATTCAAAATAATATATAAAAAGAATATAAAATGTCAATTACTTGAAACTCAAATCTAAAAGAACAAACTACTATAAAGTTAAAAATAAGACATATAACAATAGTTTTTATAAATAATATAATATGAATAGAAAGAATCAAAGAAAATATAAAAAAGATTTTAAAAGCTACAAGAATCTTTTATAATATTAATAACTTCTAAATCAATAGTAACAAACAATTATTTTAAATCAATATATTCTTTTCATTGATCCTCTGACCATACACAAAAAAGATGTTTACAAGAAGGTTTAATACTTTTTTGTTAAAAGAGTCTTACTACATTCCTTAAAACAATTTAAAAAGTACCTTTAAAACTCCCTCACTTCTTTTATATTTTCTTTACAATCTCCTTTAAACAAATTGTTCTCTTGTGACCTACTAAGTTCAGCTTTCACCTTTACTATCAATGGTAAGAAAGTTCCTAAAGAGAAAAAAACCAACTGTGAAATATCTCTTACTTCTCAACTATAATAAAGATAACAGAGATTTTATTTTAGTCAAGGGACTTATTTTTCTATTCTTTAATTGGGTTTGTGATCTTTTAGAGCTACTTTTTTCATGGCTATCTGAAAAATTTTACCTATCTCAGCTTGACCCTGAAATTTCAGATAGTATGGATTTTACTAATTCTGATTGAATAACATAAAACATATTAGACAAGATTGATAAACAAACTCCTATTGGCCACTTCATGTGTCTTAATGTATTTCCTCAGCTCCATAAAAATCCAAGATCCACCATAAGTTATTTGTGTTGATATAGGTGGATACAGAACATACTACCAACATATTATTGGATACAAAAAAAAGTCTATCTGACTATGATAAAGGTCATAAGATACTCAATTAACCTTTTTTTAAGTTAGAGCTGCCTACATTCTGATTATATATCAGGTAGGTTTCAATCTCTACTGTTCAGAAAAGTCCAAACTAGAAAAAATATAGAGCAATTAGGGATACTCAATAATAAAGCTCATATCAAAACAACTTAGAAAGTTTTTATCCTATTTTCAAAAAATTCTAAGCTGGAAAACTAAAAGGTTAATACTGCTATATTAATCAAAACTTTATTCCAAAAATATTAACAGCAATATGCAAGCTGATCAGAATGCCTGGAAGTTTCTAATTGATCATTAGTATCAATAATCACCAATAGGATATATCGATTACAAGGCTAAATACTATCTTTCATAAAGTAAGTAAATCTGAAATAAAAAGTACAGATAGATAAGTATACCTATATTTAAATAGGAATAGGCTTAATTGATAATATACTAAAAGACTTTCAAATTAATTATGCAGACATCAATATATTACCTGGACTTTTCTGGTTACTTCCTCCCCACAAGCCTTAAAACTATTTAGTCTCCCTTTTAATCTCCACCTTATCTTCATAAAAACTTAGTAAAAGTTTTTCTCCAAATCTCTCTATAGCTAAATCATAACAAGACAAACATATGTCAAAAAACAGGACCAATACATTGTACATGACTGTTCAATTTTATTTTATATTTTTCTTTTATTTTTATTTATGATATCAGCACACTCTTAGAATACTGATTTTTTTTTTGATAAAAGAAAGAGCAATAAGTCTTAAAGTAGCTTTAAAATTAACTTTAGCTTATTGTTATTTTTATTGATCCTGAATAAACACCCATGTATTCGTGCTTTGCACAATATATACTTGTAATTTGGAAATCAATAAAGTTATATATGAGCCTATCAAAAAAAAAAAAAAAAAGTAACAAGTCAATTCTAATAACTATCAATAATTCTAACTTTTATTTTGAAGA